TCTAAAAAGTTCTGACAACAGTTCTAAAAAGTTCTGAAAACTGTGCTAAAAAGTTCTGAAAACAGTTCTAAGAAGTTCTATAAAGTTCTAGAAACAGTTCTAAAAAGTTCTGAAAACAGTTCTCGAAGGTTCGGAAGACACTTCTAAAAAGCTCTAAAGTTTTAAAGTTCTAAAATGTTCAAACTGAAGCGATATTTAAAAATTGTCGAGAAAATAGAAAACATTAATTACCTACATCTGCACGAAACCAGCATCAGTGGCGTCGCTTGAAGCGAAATCTTGATGTTCTGTGCTACTTACGTACAGGGCCAATCTACTCAGCGGAAAGAAGCTTATGGGACTAGACAACCTAGCGAGGAGATAACGGTAAAGGTCACAGTTATCGACATGTTCAGACGAAACCGTGTGTTTCGAGATCGACACAACTTCCTTAAATCAGCACCCCATTCGATATATGTTGTTATTATTCAAAGTGCGTGAATGTCAGACTTCATGAGAATTATGCAGATATTTGGTAATATAAGTTTTAGAAAGTAAAATAAAACTTGATGACGACCAAAATATGGATGATTTTTGTTGATCAAAGTCTGACATTCGCGCATTGCATTGAACAATCCACTGTCGAATGATACAAATAAATGTCTAAAAAGATAGTGATTTAAAATCGATATTTAAAAATTGTCGATAAAATAGAAAACATTAATTACTTAGATCTGCCACAAAACCTGCATTAGTGGCGTCGCTTGGAGCAAAATCTTGATGCTCTTTGATAGGTACATACAACGCCAATCACCCTAGCGGAAAGATGCTTATAGGGCTAGACGACACCCTAGCGAGGAGATAACGGTAGAGATCACAGTTACCGAAATAATGACACGAAAACATACATTTTCGCTAAGGAAAACGTTGCTTCAAATGACCTCAGGAACCCCTCATTTCTCGGAAATACGATAAGTTTGGGACACCCTGTATATATAAATACATTTTATTTTTCATTATTAAATGTTGTTTATAGAAAGCCAAAGCGTTCAATTAAATCGTCACGATCACTGACTCACACAAAACTAACCGATAGAATCAGACATATAAATTAATTTTATAGCATGAACGTTACGAGAAATTCTTGCAGCAGACGAGCTTTCTTAATAAATTAATTGCTTTTCAATGTTCAATACTTACGAGGACACTCGTGGCAATTTCGTCGTATTATTTCATAACGGAAGTAATTAATAACGTCAAACATACAAAATAATTTTTAAAGAACGAATTTATCGAAAAAAATCGTTACATCCAAAATATTTTATTGATACATTTATTATTTCTAACTGTTTAATTATAATTACAAAAGTTTCTCGTCCTAATGAAATCTTTTAGTATTTTCATGTCTGTTTCGCTACCTACTGTTTAAACAAAATTAATTAAAACAAGTCAAAATAAAGAAAACCTATCAATGCAAAAATATTAGGTAATCCATTTTCGCGTGGATATTAGTCATACACCAAGTACAAAACTCTTTCCAAGATTAAAAAGAAACTTTTTTCGATTAGATTAATCAAACATATCAATCACAATTAATTAAAAATTGTTGCTTAACCACTGCAACAAATATTAAAGTACCAAAAGTTAAGAATGATTATTTTTTAAATATTTCTAGACGAAAATTTCATTGCAACACCTCCAATGGTTCAAAAGTTATAAGAAAATGTCACTGCATTTCTCGATTCGAAGAGTATGTATTACCTTGACATAACCTTGACGTGACCTTGACGTGACCATGACGTGACCTTGACATGACCTTGACATAACCTTGACATTGTACGAAGTCAATGCACTATCCTGCACACATTTCCGTGCATGAAGTGGATTTACAACTAAATGGGTGAGTTTCTTATTGATAATATTCTTCATACTTCTCTGACAAACATATCCCTTACGTCCTTTAAAACGATTATTATTTATTAAATTAGCTTTGCGAATCATTCGTGATTAGAGTGTAGAATTAATGGCACTGAAAAAATTACGAGGAGAATGTATACAACTGGAAGATGTTTTAGCTCAATTGCGAAAAGAATACGAAATGCTGAGAATCAAATTTGAAGATGTGTATAAGAGACAGACTGGAAGATGTTTTAGCTCAATTGCGAAAAGAATACGAAATGCTGAGAATCAAATTTGAGCAAAACTTAGCAGCAAATGAACAGACTGGGCCATACACACTAGAAAATTAAAACGGCCGTCACGGTTAAATTACTTACTATTTCGGGTCCGAAAAATTAGTAAATATTCTTCAGACGTTCTAAAGTTAAGGTGAACAGCGTTTTTTTTTAAATATCACTGTTATGTAGTAAAAAAAATCCGGAAAGTTCTCGCTTCGTGATTTGTTCAATACTTCGAACGCGGCTGGAGTCCGTCCCGACCATCTGTCAAAGCCTCGTGCTGCGGGCTCTCGAACTTCGCGCCGTCACCTCTCATTGGTCAGTGTTTTCCGTTAATAACTCGTAAACAAAGTCGCAGATTGCATTTTCGCAAAGGAAAAAGTTACTTCAAGTGACCTCAGCTACCCCTCATTTTCGGCTGTTAAAATAATTGTGGAACACCCTGTATACTGTTGTACTGTCTCTTTGTATTGTATTTTATGTGCCTCACTGTTTACCGTCGCTGTTATTGGTATTCGTAATACTATATCAATCACTATCAATTTCAATTCCAATTTCAATTGCCAGGAATTCAATGCCGCTATATTTTGAGCTATCGATATCATATTGATATAAGCTAATCCGATATTAGTGTTGATGTCCAACGAAGTCACAACACCGATCGCGATCGCCGACTCCCATGAACTAACCACGCGCGACGTAAGTGTGCGTGCGTACGTGAGCATCGTGTCATATGTAAACATATTAAATGTAAACACCAATTAAAGGAAAGACTTATAACGCTTATTCTGGTATTTTGTAATATTTTATATTTCTATTTTTTATACATTTCAGAAGACAATAGTTTCGTTTAGCGAACTCGTTTTGAAATTCTAAATAAATTTATATTTTATGTATATTAATTACTATAACAACTCACATTATAAGAGAACTGTTACCCATAAAAGAATTTTTACCTAATACATTCATTCGTATTTACACTGAAAACGTATATATATACATATATACGCGCGCACACACGCAACACGCGCACTCAACAGAAACACGTAGACAGGTATATCATTAAATGCTTTTTATCAGACAGAACTTGCATATAATAAAAAAAGATGTGTTTACAATGATTCGTAAATTACAAGATGTATCAAAAAGATTTCTGATTGTTCTACAATTAACAACAGCGAGCCTCTTTTATCAAGATATTTAGACAATTTGTTCACTAATGATTGCCGACGATAATGATAATAATTAACTCTGTAAAAGGACGTTAGGTCCCCCGCTTCGGATAAATAAATTTACAACTTTGAATTTATTGTATAATTGTTATATTACGATAAATATATGTATACAAGACGATTTATAAAATTGCAAAAAAAACTGTTATTTCTGATTGTTTTCTAATGTTAATGAACGGAACGTCGTGTTAGATTTAATTCTTACTATCTAAACACTTTCCAGACAACATTGAGATATTTCACCACCACTTTTAAATGGCTATTGCACAAATAACATTTTGCAATAAACTTATCGTTTAAACGGAATACCGTTATTAATAATAGGAGATTCCAAAGATTATGGAAAATTATAAAAGCTTTTAGTGAAACTTTTCTTTATTTATGTTAAAAAGTATTTTCTTTTTCATTTGTTCATTTTATAATAAAATTGATTTTATACGGAAGGTACTGGTCTATTTCAGTTATCAGGTAAAATTTCATATATTATGTCGAGTTGATGCTTCAAAAATCAAGATAACGAATATGTGTAAATCAAGAAACATTTTGTACTATATTGCTTGACGTACATGTATCCAATCGTCTTAAAAACGTGGTACGCTTCATTATTTAAAAACATAAAAGGTTGTGATTTAAAATCCCTCTTCTATTTATACTTCAAATCGTTGGTATATCTCTTGACTTTTCTTACAAAATATTGAAAATTACATCGTTGCGTTATCATTATACTTTTGTTTTTCTAATCTTGCTTTGAATCAATAGTAGTGTGTGTTA